GGTTAGAAATAGCATTGATCAAGTGTTTTTCCAACAAGACTCCCAGCAACCCAAGGATCCGATCAACATCCTAGAAACTACATTCCATACCCACATAGTCACATAAGCATGTTATCAATTAAGCACATAGATCACACCTGCATTAGTTTTGCAGGGACACGAAAAACTGGGAGTGTGCAATCCCCGCTCGAGCGCAAGAAGACCCGCTCGGGCGGACCGCCTAAAAACTGGGCAACAAGGAATTGAAACCAAGGCCTAACCAACCTGTAACAACCCTGCCCAAAACATCCTAAAACTCAATCAAGCGGAATTAAAGGACGACAACAAGATAGATACAACTACCAACTTCACGGAACCGAGTCCGGAATACAATAGAACAGTAAAGGGACAACCGGGATCGCTATAGCAGTTGAGGCTGTTAGATGGTTCCAACTGCCCTGGTCCTTGAACTAGTCAAGTTTGGTGGTTGCATAACTCTGAAAACTATTGAAACCCTTTTTATTCTCTCTTTCTACCTACTTTATTTTTTTTGAAGTATTTGAAGACAGTTGGAACCTCTAGTTAGATTGATGACCCATTTAACATGTTCATGGTTTCGCTTGACCAGGTGGTGTTTTTCACCCCTTATACAAAGCTTTATTGAGGGGCTAAATCTCTCCTTTTTGTTTTATCACTTTACAAAAACACAGCTCCCAGAACCTTACTATCATACCCGTTATTATAGGTAAAAGAATCTGCAAGATTACATCAAGTAATGCAGACGATTCTCACTATAGGATATGCATTGAACCAAGGCACTGCTTGAGGTATTATTCTGTGAGATTGAAGTATGTTATGATCTGTAATATTTTGTTTGGTGGAAAGCTTTTGGCATTGATGTCCTCATTTGTATTTCAGGATCTGCCATAGGATTCAAATTGGACAGCCTACTTAAGTTGTCTGATGCTCGTGCAAGGAACAATAAAATGACATTGATGCATTAGCGACCTCAGGAGCTTGATTTATGCCCAGGAGTAGGCATACAATGTTTTCTGTAAAAGAGAAAAATTTAGAAATATGCTTGAAAGGAAAAATGCTGACTCTTCTTTTTGTAAAGGAATTGTTGGATCTTCATAGATGTACATAATTCTAGTTTCATGACAAAACTAGTGTATGTTTGTTGGCAGTGATGCTGAGATATAAAATAAAGGGGATTTGCCAATACTGAAATTTTAATCTTAGTGGAAAATTCAGCAGTAAATTTGGTTTGATTTTCTTTTGTTAAAATCTGCAAGTTCTTGCTTAGTTAAGTATACCGACACATTTATCTTGCAGGGAAGAAGTGCAGATTCATTGTCTCAGTATTTTGGGGATCCAGCCAGGTGCCCTTTTGAACAAGGTTTGGTTTTATTTTCCACATTTATGTACTTAATTTTCTGTTGCTGTCAAGTAAGGAAGTTCACTACATTTCTTTTCTATTTGATCTGCCACATTGATTATGTTAGAGATGTATCTGTATGTAGGTTAGATTAGATGATGGAAGTGAAAATGCTTACATTTCAAGGTAGCCCTCAACATGATCCTGCTCACATTATAGTAACATAATGTAAATAACGAAAGGATTTTTAAAGTGACCATAGTGTATAGCAGAACAGCCAATAGTAGATGTAGAAGAGAAGAAGTATTACCAACCTCAATAAATCTCCATGTTTTTTGTCCTCTACTTCAATGGCTCTGTCTAGTATACCTCCAACCGTGTGACTGGTAATGCAGAAACAGCAGATTATATCATTCAGTATGTCTAAAACTGTACTCTATGATTGTTAATCTACAAGGACAATACAGTGAGATTAATTTCCAAATGTGTGATGTATATTCATGGGATTTGAAGAGACAATGTTCAGTGAATAAAGTAAGATTACAGTATCATGATTGTCAAGTTATATTTGCAATTTCAAACTAAACTGGGAAAAAAATTACAGATAAAAACCTTTTATCTTCATCAAATGGCTCGCTAAGGTGCATTAAGGACTGTTTTATACATACAATTTACAACTAAGGAACACAGACTGAGTAGGGAAAAAGTTCGGTACCACTGTTATATATTTAATTCCTCTTACCGAGCCTGAATTCACCTCCAAATTCAGACCCAACTCACCAAATTACCTCCAATGACAGCAACCCACCAACAAAACTACTTGTATTAAGTCTTAAAAGTCAAAGCCCAATAAAAATTCTATTTTTTCTGGCAATAACAAACACAAATGAGTACTCTGTTACTCTGGATATATGATCAGAGGTTAATGAAAGAAAAACAATAAGGTTTTTTAGTTCTTAATAGTAATTCTATAAAAGAATAAAAATATTATGATAACAGGTATAGTGAGCTAAAACTTTGTGTAAGTAGAATTTTCCTTTCATTTTATTAGGCAGTTCAAAAAATGTTTTAACTTTTTGTGTTTATAGAATTACACTGCTTTTGTGCTTGTTGTTGACTTGACTTGGCAAGGAGTCAGTTACAGTAAATTGGCAAGGAGTTGGTTACATTGTACTGTAAATCTTCTTCCATCTATGACATTATTTATATTTGTGATATATGACTGTAGTTGGGAGGCTTTAAATGCATCCTAAAATTTTAAGTGCATTTAGAGCCTACCCTATAATTGTATGCATACCTAGGATAAATGACAAATATACCAAGTAATTCATGGTAACACTAAATTTTTATAGTATTAGCTGTCACCCTCAGGGTTTTAAATATTAGCTGACACCTTCTATTGTTGTTTAAAGCTGTGGGTCGTCCTATTTGTACATTGTGGAGAGAAGCGAAAACCCGACATCTCTTCTATGACACAATATATTGAACACTGTTACTGCAATGTGCATTGGTGTGAGACCAGCTTGGGACAGTCGGTCAGTTGGTGATCCGTGGTCGATGTACCGATCAGGGAGAACCACGGGTCTCCAGTGCACAGGATTTTCAAGGACACAGAGTAAGTGATCTAGTGCTGAGTTCAAAGTTTTCTTCTTTTTGGTGTATGGATAGAAAAAGTAAAAATAACCAAATAACAAATAGATCATCTACTACTCACCCACACTCCATATATAGAATCAGTTTAGGATATGTTTCGTTCTGTTTTCATTTTCTTTTTTCCATATTTCTGAAAACAAAACAATGAGAAGGTCATTTTTATTTGTATAATATCACAATTTTAAAATTACGAATCTCACATATTATATAAATTACAAAAATTTAAAATTAATAAAACTATCATATTATTCATTAGTACCAATGAATGTGTATAACTTTATTCATCAAAGTATATCACATGACGTTATCCACATGATAAATCCAACCAATGATGTAATGAGAAAATTTATGGGCAGACAATGATGACTCACTGTTAAGTAGTTAGATGGCAAGGATTAAATAACTCATATTCTGTGACGTTGATATCATGTAGGCATAGGCTGACCCTAAGCCTTTCAGGGCCTTAAGCAAACTTCCAATGTGTAACCTTATATTGGAATTCACACACGCACACACACACACACAAAATATATATCTATATATATGAAATGAAATTTAAAAAAAAAAATTAAAAAATCTAGGATTTGAGCCTCGTAACAAATCAAACTATGAATTTTTTATTTTTTCAATTTAAATCCCGATATTTTAAATTAATTCCAATCTAAGTCTTTTGTTAACCTCTGTTTGAAGACATTAACTGATTTTTCTTTCCAACACGTCATTTTTTGATTTGTTATTTCAAATTAATATAACTATCAATTTTTTTTTTTCTAACCATACCAGATTACAATCACCACTAATCAAACAAATCTAACCATCCATTTTAATTTTTCCATGGAACCATCACACTTGAGTCAGCCCAGCTTCCCCTTTCCAAAACTCCCTACCTCAGCACCCCTCACCTCTGTTGGAATATGTAGATATTATTTAGATATGTTAGTCTCCCATGATTATTGGATCACAGGATCTTAGGCTTGATTTAACTATGTTTATTTCCTTCCTCAGTAAATATATATATACCATGGTCTAACCTCTATTGAGGTAAGCCAATTTTATTAATTCTTCTATAGCGCCTAATCCAAAACCACCTTACTAAATATTATAACTCAAAACCCAAGGAATTGAATGTCAAGCAAGAGCCTTTGCTTCTGGAAATCTGTGTTTTTTTTTATTAATAGATGTGAATAGCCCTAACCTTGAACATAAATATTTATTTGATATTATAGATACAATCTCTGTCAATTTTGTTTTCAGAAAATTTTCTTGAGAACTGTTTTATGAAGAGGAGAATCAGAGAACTTACCTCAGAAAATACCGGAGAAGAACAGGCCGGAGAAGAACAGGCCTGGAGAGCAAAGAGATAAAAGAACATTTAATCAGTTTGTGAATGAAACATCGGAAGAACAATTGAAATCAGAAAATAGCAGAGTGATATTGAAATCAGAAAATACCAGAGTGATCTTAAAGATACAAACTCTGCCAATTTTTTTTATATAGGTTTTCTTTCTCAAAACCCCCAAAAAGAGAAAAGAAATCGGAGGAAATGATGTTTACAATTGAAAGCAATTGAAATCAGAAAATAGCAGAGTGATATTGAACAAAAAAAAGGAGAATCAGAGAACTTACCTTGCAGAACTTGGCACACTGGGTATAGGAGAAGAAGAACGGGAGGGAGAGAGAGATAAAGAGGGAATGAGTGGGTGAGAACAGAGAAGGGAGAGGGATAAAGATAGAAGGGATGGGAGACGTGGGCAGGCAGGAAGATGAGAAGAAAAAGATAAAGATAGAATAGAAGGGAGACGTGGGTAAGTTGGAAGCTCACTCTTTGGGCGGGAAGTAAGTGTAGATGGTAATCTCAGCCATCTATCTAAATATAGACAAATGAATCATAACAAAAATAATGTTTAGTAGGACAATTGCCTTTAATATATTTTCAAAAACCTTCTTACTTTATTATATAGATATATATTTTACTTCCACTGAGGTGTAATTACCCCATTTTTTTGTCATCATGTCAATAAAAGTGAATTTAAGTATTATGTTTAAGAGATCTTTAGTATTTCAAAATTAAAAAATATGTTATGTTATTATAAAAGGGTAAATTGCATTCGTTTAATTTCTATACAAATTACCCTCACATATTGTAATTTTAAAATTATGAATCTCACATATTATATAAATTACAAAAATTTAAAATTAATAAAACTATCATATTATTCGTTAGTACCAATGAATGTGTATAACTTTATTCATCAAAGTATATCACATGACGTTATCCACAAGATAAATCCAACCAATGATGTAATGAGAAAACTTCTGATCGTCATTCTGGCTTGAGACAGTGAAATAGTCAACATACTAATCTGTTCACTTTGAACACACAGCTCATATCAACACACTGCTCATTCTGAACACGCAGCTCATAACACAGTATTCAGTTTATTCGGCACACAGCTCATTCTGAACAGACAGTCTGATCTGAAAAGACAGGATGCAAAACGGAACCTGTAGAAGTTGAAACAAACCTGGATGCTCCAAATTTTCCCTCTTTTCTTTGGCTTTGCAGTCTGGAACCCACATAGCTTCAGATAGGTCCTGGTTTTACTGTTCTCACATGACCTGGTTGAACCCTGTAGTTTTATGAAAGAACAAATCTTGTTTTGCGCAAATCTGGAGAATGGCATGGCACTCTGAGCACAAAATGATTCGTTTTTGAAATTGAGAGATGAGTTTTTGACCGGGTATTGAGCCTACAACTGACCACAGCCAAAACGACTCAAAAACAGAAAACAAAGTTAGAATAGCCTAAACTCAACTCATCAAAGGAAAAACAAGATAAAACAACCTAAACACATCTATTGACACTCAAACGACTCAAAACAAGAATTGAGACAAACGAAAACACACAAATACAACACGCAGCTGTGTTACAAAGGTAAGAGACCTCTCGGTACACAAGGAGTCAGTTTCCCCGGGTATTGTTTCCCACCCTTTCTCATTTGTGATTCTCACATCACTCGGCCCTCAGGCTCCGTTTTTCTCACAAAACCCTTGTCCTCACTTTTTCTCTCAGCACACATCTCTCTATTCTTTAATCTCTTATTTTTTATCCCTTCCCTGGGTGGTTGATGGATAAACAAGAAATTGCGGGCTCATGCCCCTAGCATTCTGCTAGATTCTTCCTTCTGCTTACAACCGTGAACTTTCCCACAGAGGGGTTGCGCTACAACTGGGTGTGTAGCATGTCTGCAGTTGACATCGGTTGACGATGCTCCCGAGGGAGTTTGGATGTAATCAGATGTGTCCAAACAAAGGAGTGAAATATCTCGATCCATTCCTGTTTGTGCTTCGCACTTGGCTTGATACCTCGTTGCTTGGAGGATGTGAGAGCTTTCTGCCCTTTTTGCGGTTAGCTTCCGTTGTGCCCCTTTCTGGCAAGTATGGTGCCCTTTCTGGCAAATACATTGATAAAGGGGAAAAGACAGAACACCCGACTGAAACTGTGCCCCTAGTTCATCGTTTTGACCTTTTTTTTTTGTTTTGGTTTTCTACTAAAACAATTTTAACCAAAATGAGAGTTATATTAACACGCTTGCTCGATTTTCTGATTCAAAATCATGCAAGTTAGGTTATGAGCACTGAAAATTTTTCTTTTTTGGGTCCAAGAAAAAGGTCCAGTTTTGAAAAAATGGAATAGTTTTCGAGAGAAAATTAGTCAACCTTAGTAAAAATTCTCAAAAACTGTTTTTGCAAACGGCCACTGCTTAACGAGCATAGAACCCGCTCTCGAGATGCACAACCTCAGATTCGAAGGAAAATTGCCCCTTGCTTGAGGGGAGCTGCATGGCAACGGAAAGTTGCCCCTTGTTTGAACGGCACCGCAGTGCATTGAATGGCAACGGAAAGTTGCCCCTTGTTTGAACGACACCGCAGCACATTGTAGTTAGTCCTCAGAGTGATGAACACAACCAGACTCTCGGATACAGAGAAGGCAAAGATGATCAAAACCATTACATGGACACAATCGATTTGGAAGTGTTTATGGCTGGACTTCAGAATGAAGTTGCCTACGTATCCCAAAGATGGGAATCAGGCCTTACGTAGTTCGGGGTGTAAGGTACACTTGGGTATTTTCGCTCTCCTTTTGCGCTCTAATTTTTGCCAAGGCCGCCCTTTCTGGGTTTTCAACCTTGCGAGCTATGTTTTTCTTTTCTTTTTCATTTCTTTTTTTTCTTTTTTCATCTTTTTGCATTTTTTTCATTTTTTAGAATTTTTTCTTCTTTTCTTCTTTTTTTTTTTGCATTTTTTTTTTTCTTGCTCTTACTTTTGCCTGGGTTGCCCTTTCGGGTTTTCGGCCCAGCGAGCCTCTCAAGAGTAAAAGTGTAGCTTTGTCCATGCCAAATGGTTTTAGGATCCTGAAGTCATCTGAATCCAGGAGAATGGCTGCTGTTCGCTAACGATGCAGGAGTCCATCCAATGGGGGGCTGATTTTGCCCCTAGTGTTGCGGATAGGAACTCAGTTGTTCTTCAACAGAAACTGTCTTCTTTCCTCCTTTCTGGGATTTGGCATTCTTGCCGACCTTCTTTGATTTGTGGAATGATCAATCTTCGGCTCTTCGAGCACATTTGAAATTCTTTGCCCCTAGTTCCAAGGATGCTTCTGATCTAGCTTTGCAAGCTTCTTTTGATGACAACTGATCTTCTTGATCTAACTTTGGTGCCTCTTGTTCGAGGGCTGCTTTAAATCTGGCCACACAGGCCTCACATTGTAGTTGGCCGTTGAACATTTTGAATTTAGGTTCGAGGTTCGAAAGCAAGGGGTCGAGTCTCGAGGCTGAGAGCAATCCTAGGCTGCACAATCTCAAGAGCGATTCCACACAGGTCTTCGCAGGACGACGCAAAATATTTTTTTGAAAGTTTTTAAGAAAGAGACAAATCGCTCGCGCTGAAGACAGTGTAGAACCAATCTGGATCAAAGCCAAGGTCCTTCTCAGTACTCACATTAACAAGCATGATCTCAATCATTAAGGGCTTAGCACGCCTCTCTTTCTCTCACTTGATCAAATTTTTGCAAATCCTGAGGAATTCCTTCTTCTTTGTTTTCATCACAATGTTCAAAAATTTTTTGAAAAACTTAGGTCAATGCAATGAGTTCGAGGCACAGAAAAGTAGGTGAAAAGCATTGTCGTTTCATTCAAACTTTTGGCATAACTGGCGCAAGGCAGAAGCGAGTACAAGAGTGTGAAAAGACAACTGTTGTTCTATTCAAATCTGATGGTGTAACTGGCTCCACGGCAGAAACAGACTCAAAAAGAAAGCAAAAAGACAAACACAAAACAAAATAGTGATATCCGAGACAACAACCCCGGAATCACCCGACCTCTGCACAACAAGACTTGACTCGATACAACAAGACAGACCTTAACAAAAAGACTAACTCAAAACAAAGAGACAGACTTAAAACAAAACCACAAAACTGACTCAACACCCAAGTCAGAAACTACAAAACTAGCATTCGTAAATGCTCAAAACAGTGCGTGCCATTCCCATGTCTGGAGTAAATCGAGCGCCACCCGCAGCTGGTTCATCCCCCGATCACATGGTCACATTATCCCCCAAGTTCACCAATCCAGCGCCGATAGACTTTGCAGGACCTGACGCGACGATGACCTTCTTATCAATCAGATCTTGTATTTCATGATGAAGGCGAAGACACATGTTAGTGTCATAGCCAGCTTGTTGATGAAAGACACAAGGAAGTTTATTCAGTAATGGCCGCGGCTCCAGGGGCTTCAGATGCCCCTTTTCGATCAGCACCCTCAGGGCCGTTGACAGAGACATGTCCAGTGGGGTGAACACCCTCTGGCCCCGAGGTGGGTATTTGGCAGGTTGTGAGCTGGTTGTGTTGGATGTACCAGCGAAAGGGTCGGTAGGTGTTGACTTTTGATGATCTCTTCCAAGTGTAGGATTGGAGTTGATAGGATCGTTTCTGGTACAATATCCCTTGTCTCGGCTTGCCCCTTGATTCAGACTGCCCCCAACTTGAGTGGCAAAAGTATCATCCACAGTTTTTGCAACCACTGCAAGCACTTGCTGTTTGTTTAGTCCTTCGACCTTCAAAGCCTCAACAGCCCATTGAAGGTGTTCTTGGGGACCAATGCTTGCCCTTACCTTGTTCTTACCACCTGCTTCCCCTTTGCTAAGGGTTTGGCTTTCTTCAAATGCAGCCAGTCCCAAGATTGGGGAGCCTTTTGTCGTGAAATTCCCGGTATGTGATGTGGTCGATGAGGGAGCCAATGTCTCAGAGGCCAGATTTGTCACGGTTCTCTGAAGATCTTCGATCATTCTCTTCAGCTCAAAAGTAGTGGGCTCACGGGTTTTAGAGGATTGGGATCCAGGTGCATCCATCATGCATAAGTTTATGCTTTCTGGAATAAACACCTCAGGCTTGGGTAGATGGGCCGGGGTGATGTATATACTGGGGTCATAAGTGGATGGCAGTATATGGATGAGATTGAGGTAGGCAAGAGATGTTTGGTCATTGGGGTCTAAAGGTGGAGCTATCGTCCGGTTGTTGATGAGATTTTGGACCTCGTAATGAAGGCGGTAGCAACGATCGGTGCCATGACCACGCTGCTGATGGTACACACAGTACTTAGACGGGTTATGTCTGGCTGAGAGTGGGTTAGGCAGAGGTTGAGGATCGAGGGGTTTGAGATACCCTCTTTCCATCAAGACTTTTAGTGTGCTAGTTAGGCTCATATGGAGGGGGGTGAAAAATCTACCCTGAGCTCGAGCTGGGCTGGCTATTTGTAGGCTGGCCTTGGCAAAAGGGTCGGTTATGGCAACTGTGTTGACTTTAGCGGGTTTGGAAACAATGCTACCGCCAGCATTGGTACTCCCGACTGGGAGCCTTACGGTAACCTCGGTGGACCCATCCTCAATGTCGTGAATGGAGTTAAGGCCCTATGCCCTTTTGAATTGCTTCTCAAGGTTCGC